AATTATGAAAAAGGGTATAGCTGCAAAGTAAACACTCAATAGGACACATTACATGTCGGTATACATTCATACATGTACATGTACATGTACATGGACAGCGGATACAGGTACATGTACATTGTAGAATCTTAGCACTGCAGGTATTCATGATGTCTTCATGATGCATACCCACCACTATGTAGTATTATGTAACAACTGATCTGAAGATAAACAGTTTTCAATGATTTTAACATTATTGGAGACTGACTACCGGTACATGTATGAACCAGCAGTAATACTTGTGTACATGAAACACATTTTCTATAATATGTACCGGTACCTACCGGTATACATTGCATATTTGTGCTTCTCATGTGCAGTGTGGATCCAAAATGCTACATGTACATGTACATACATTTAAGGTCCAGTAATGTCTGTATGTATACATGTACATGATACACTGTTGTCATTCAGCTAAATGTCTGAATCAATCCAACAATTTAATTATTATAAAGTTGAACAAACAATTTGAATGGAGCTTGGCTTGAACCTGCAACCTCCAAATTACCATATTGCCAGTCAGTCAATGGACGCACCCTGGACACATGGCGCAAGACGCACACACGCCAAACTGGCAAAAACCATTCCCTTCTGGGTCACTGTCAAATTCCCTGAGTTTTCCCTGTTTTTTTTGGTGTGTTTTTCAAAATTCCCGGAGTTTTCCCTAACTGGAAAAATGGAAACTCCTTTTCAATGTTTTCCCTGATTTCCAGAGTGGCTGGAAACTCTGCTGATGATAAATGACTGGGCCTATGGCTTTGTCTCTCAACAGAGGGCAAACCCAACCCAAAACATACTGTACTGCTTTACATACATTGTACATGTACATGTATGCAATGCCTATCCAAACCACATGTATGTACAGTGTATGTACCTACAGTATCTGTACAATGTACATGTACAATGTATATGTATGCTTATATTACCTCCAGGGTGAACTCGCCCTTGTTTGTTTACTACCACTTTTCTCCAGGGTCGGTGATAAACCCCATGGTAAGGATTCCATGAGGTTCAGGTAGGGAAGGGTTGACCCTGAACCTGCAGCACTCTCAGGGTCAGCTTGTCCCAGGGGTAGGTATAGTTTCCAAAGTCAAATGTAAAATTTGCACACATTGGCATGATCTGGTTCAGCCTGATATGACCATAAACATGCATAGGTATGTCCTGAGTGAAAAGATCATTAACATGTCAATCTTTTGTCACTGCCTGATTCACACTAACATTATGAACCACTTATATTGTACATGCACACTACATGTCCATCAAATGTGCATGTTTTGTCCATTAAATGATATGCTTAAGTACATTGTATATTCGTCCATCCTCACTAGACTAGACAGCCAAGGAAATATCTGTTCATTTTTGGGGGTGTTCAGGGAGGGGTACATGTAGTACCGGTGCCTCTGGCGGGGGACAGTCATGCTCCTTTTGGGGGTAGCTTAACCACCATTGCGGGTAGCCGAGACTTCCAACCTTCGGTGAAGCATGTGTTGGCACCGTAGAATTTCTAGGTGGCCAGACCCCTTGCAACTGTCCCTGTGGTTTATGGGTAGACGGCAGGGCGGGGGCCATCATTCGCAGCGGGGCAGGGTTTCTGCTGTAGGCTTGGCTGCACCCTTGCATCGCATCGCATAACAGTGGAGGAACATCTTGAAAAGTCAGCATTGCTGAATGTATACTGGGTATTATCTGACAGAGGGAACCAGGCTTATTCCGACCACAGTGTCCAGGCACCAAGATGCTAGTGCACATGCGTTAAGGGCAGGCAGGAGGCCTACCTAGCACCTTGTTCCAGTTGGTGTGCTACATCTATCATATGCTGTGCCCACGTTCTGGGCTTCCAGACCTGGGCCTGTTGGCTGTGGTAGATGACAGAGTGAGGTTGAAGTAATACGTTTCACTCTCAGTATAATCCAATGCAATGCAGGAGGACTTTGCCACCGTCTCTGAAAATTTCAAGCCCTGTGGCGATTGAGAAAAATTTAGGATGTCTTCTACTCCTAACCTACTCCACTGGATGTCTCTACTCCTATACCTGTACTCAGGCAGCTCCTTTGTGATGGCCGCTGACTTCCGATCAAGTGACGGAAGTGTTCATGTCCTGCTAGGGAAGAGGCCACAAAGGAAGGAAAGACGACAGCAGCTCGGTGGCACAAAACGTCTCGAAGTCCAGGGCTAAAAAGTTGCAGTGAAGACGTTGTCTGCTTCCTCCCATGTGCAGCTACATACTGTACAATCTCATGAATAGAGCAAGTACCGGTACGTGTAAGATGACCTCAAAAGCCTGTGAGATTTTACAATACACATGTAGCACATATGGGCACCATGAATCAAGCATGGGAAGTTTAACTTTTTCTTTATTTTTTCCCCCAAACCAATCAACAACTGCACATTTTGATTTGTATGTAGAAAAGGTGTACATGTAATGCGTACTGCACTGATAATCAATCGGGCGTAGATCCACACAGGAATACATGTACAAATGGTGTAGATCGTGCCCTACATCAAACGGTACATTGTCTGGGTATCTCCTGCTTAATTTATGAGCGTACTGATTGAAATTTTTAAACTTAACTTTGGTAGGAGTCATAAATTTGACCAGATTAACCAGTGCTAATATCAAATTATCAATTACAATGTACAATCATGACACATGTTTAGCAATTTCACATTTTAATTTTCAAAGCATAGATTTGCATATCATTTGCATGCTTCAAGTTCAAGCCACTGTGCTGTTCCAATATTAACAAGTCAGGTGTGTTTACAAACACAAATGCCCCGCAACCGTGATTGTTCCCATGACATAACACCACTCTTTTAACATCAACTTACATGTACCTTGGTCACATGGAACGTTCATTAATTGACAGCATTAGTGTCTTCTGTAGGTTTTATATGAATTAATCCCTAATCCCTATGATCTCAGAATAAATACAAGGTTTCGATTGTTTTAGCCACTGTGACCTTGACCCTTGACCTTTTGGCCCCAAATGCAAAAGGCTTCTTATGATTACCAAGGACAATCCACAAACCAAATTTGAAGTTCATATGTAAAGTATTTCTCAAGTTATCGCGCTGACAAAATTTCTATTGTTTCAGCCACTGTGACCTTGACCCTTGACCTTTCGGCCCCAAATGCAATAGGCTTCTTAGGATTACCAAGAACAATACACAAACCAAATTTGAAATTCATATGTAAAGTATTTCTCAAGTTATCGCGCTGACAACATTTCTTTTGTTTTAGCCACTGTGACCTTGACCCTTGACCTTTCGGCCCCAAATGCAATAGGCTTCTTAGGATTGCCAAGGACAATCCACAAACCAAATTTGAAGTTCATATGTAAAGTATATCTCAACTTATCACGCTGACAAAATTTCTTTTGTTTTAGCCACTGTGACCTTGACCCTTGACCTTTCGGCCCCAAATGCAAAAGGCTTCTCAGGATTGCCAAGGACAATCCACAAACCAAATTTGAAGTTCATATGTAAAGTATTTCTCAAGTTATCACGCTGACAAAATTTCTATTGTTTCAGCCACTGTGACCTTGACCCTTGACCTTTCGGCCCCAAATGCAATAGGCCTCTTAGGATTACCAAGAACAATACACAGACCAAATTTGAAGTTCATATGTTAAGTATTTCTCAAGTTATTGTGCTGACAAGATTTGTCCGGACACACACACCCACACACCCACCCACCCACACACACACCCACACACCCACCCACCCACGGAAGGACAAGGCGGAAACAGTATGCCCCTTCGGCTTCGCCGCGGGGCATAAAAATTCACCCTGACAGATATATTTTCATGCAACGGCCACGCCCCGTCCATGCAGGATTCTGAGCATGTGTGTGGGAGGAAATAAAATGGTCATAGTCAGTCATGGGAGGACGCACCTCTACATTATATAAAATCTACCATGTAGTGGCATTGATGTTACAACCCAAAAGGCTCAGTGCTTTGGGGTTTTTTTTGGGGGGGGGGGGTTTGGGGGGTTTTCAGGATTTTTTTGGAAGCATTACAAATTTTGTCTGCAGCTACATGTACATGTACATGTATAGAACTACCAGTACAGATTGGAATGTCTATAAAATTGGAAATGGGAATGATTCAGATATTTGATTTTCATGTTGAAAAGGACAAACGAGGTTTTTCTGCTTTCGTTTGAGGCAGCAGAAAGTCAAGCTATTTCGTCCAGTTGTCTAAGCCATGTTTTAGGGTTCAAGTTGTTGACCTCCACATGGTGAGCCCTGTCAACTGACTTCTGTCAGGCAAACGACAACAACAGAGATAGCAGAAGCAGAATCAGAACAAAGAGGTTATACTGAAACTGTGCACAAATGTTGTGTGAAGTCCATCGATGTGAGAAATACTGCATGCACATACTGCTTTACATATGGCATCAAGTACGCAAGACTGATTTTAATGTGCGTATTGTATGTACCGGTAAACCTGTCTTTTTAGTGAGTTCCAGGCATGGCAGCAATGTACCCTGCTCTTCCTTTGTAACCATTGAGGGGGGACGTGTGCATGGAGTCAAAAGTAATGTATATCCAACCTGAAATACATGTATTGCCACTGTACAGTACAAGTTCAGCTCTGTGTGAACTGATTTCAGCTGATGCAGGATGTTGAATATTGTGCCGGATTCAGGAAGGTTGCCAGCAAAAGTGCCTAGGAGGTTAGGGTTAAGGACAAATTTGACACTGTACTATAGGCCTACGGTACATGTACATTGATTCAGTACATGATTATATTGTATTTCTATCCATATTGTACTTCTGTAGCAACATCCTTCATCAGCTGCAAAAGTTCAGACTCAGCCAGTTTGCTTATCACTGCCAGTTTGCTTTACCAGTACCTATACACTTGTCTTCTTAACTTGAATTTTGATCAATTATAATCAGTGTCCAGTGTTAGAAATAAAACGAATAATGCTGGCGGTCTCCCATGGCTCACCTCCTCGTAAAATTCCAATTGTGGTACTGGAACCTCCGAGACGTTCTCGCAAAAATCCTTGAAGAGTAGAAAACCTGCAACAACAACAAAATCACAGATAAAAATTGATTCCTTATTAATTTACAATGTATGCATGATTACTTTGGCAATACTCCATGTTATCAACAGCCTGTTATTGCACTATTATAACCATGTCTTTATACTGCAAGCTCTCTGCAATGCTAGAAAGGCAGACAGATGGAAGAGGGCTCACAGTCTGCTCCATGGAAGTTTGTAACAACAACAAAATGTTCGAGTCATCAAAATTGTTACCATTCCACTATCATATCGAGAACATTCACTCTGCATCATTTGTTGCCATCAACCAGTGTTCTGTTCACTGGCTGTTCTCGATAGACCAAACAAACAGCACAAGTACATGTGTAGGCCTACAAGTACATGTACATGTAGTCGTGCACACTGAGTTGCAGTATGGACACTGCTAGCTGCCTATTTGGAGGTGATGGGAAACCTCATGTATTAATTATGCACTTAAAATTGGGCTGAGCTCATTTCGTGTTTGTTTGTTTGTTTTGATGGGGTTTTTTGGACAGATACTGGTACATGATACATTGTACATTGTAGACAGTAAACAGCCAACAATTTCACTCTTTTGTAGGCCTACTCTTTTGCATACATGTTTATGCATTACATCATAGGCATCTTCACAAGCTAGTACATACATACATGTATTACTACAGAAACTGTTATTGGATGGCCAGAGCGAAAGAGGCCCCAGCATCAGTAATGACTGCATGAAATGAATGACACTGACAGAAAGATGTATTTTACTAAATGTTATTCAATGCATTCATGTAATTTTTCTTTTCCATAAGTAGACCCTTGACCAAATAATGCATACAATTTACTAAATCTGATATTTCCAAATTGAAACAAAATACCACTATTTTTATGTACATTGTACATGTACATGTATGTACATGTACAGTATGTATTTCAACAGACTTTCTGATTTTGTGATTCTGGAATGGGCACGTGTACAATACACATGTATGTGTATTGTACGTGTACAATACACTGTAACTATTCAAATGGGCCATGTTATATTGTGCAGAACTAAAGGTGCCCTCATCTTCATAATTGATGCCTGCAAACTGAATTCTGTACACAACTCATGTGCATGCAGATTATAATGGAACATTTGTACCGGACATGCACCTCCTACAAAGAAATACATTTTTTACACAAATTGTACATGATGTACATGTATGCATACACTGTAGTACGTACATGTACACAGACATGAGACATGAGACACGGATCTACATTGAATTTTAAAATTGCTTTAAAATACAGTTTACTTGTAAATTAATACTCTAATAGATGAATTAAAAATCATGCTCTCTATATCATCTGTTTTACATACATGTACCGGTACTTAAGAGGCAAGAAACACCGATAAGACACAAATACGTATGTACTATTTGATCTACACCCTACCATGCCTACCGCTACATAGTTACAATACCCTAACAACTTACGATACATCATTGTTTGTTTTGATCGGGAGTAAATGGTCAGTAAATGTCTGATGTCTGTAGTCTGTACGTACATGTCAATATGGGAAGAATTTGTGAAATACACAATGTCTTATTAACACATTTATTGAGTACTTTCTGAGAATTTACATTTCACTTAATATAAATTGGTCTCTGTTACAATGTATGTTTGTTTTGACTTGCAGGATGGTGATTTTAAGAGTTTAAAAACCATTTTTTTAAACTGTTATTGCAAACTGAATTTAACCAGACGTACTGAATAAATTAAGCAATATGGCTCAAAACACCTGCCAACAAGATAAGTTCTTCCATTTTGTTTTCAAACTTTGAATTTATTTTCATTGCCAGTGCTCTTCAACAAATAACTTTTGTTCTCGAAACAAATTTTTAATCTGTATCTTTTGTTTTCATGAAAAAACTACCTTATTCTGATTGGACGTGTGCAACCCTCTGAGAAAGGAATTTCAATTTACACACAAATGACCCGCCCTGTGAGAGCTGAGTTATTGTCTGGCAGCCAATAATTCAAGTTTTTTTTAAGAAATAATTTAATAACAAAATGTCGCTGGATTTTTTCGTTTGATGTCTCAGTCAAAAGCGAATAACTTTGATATTTCTAGGAAAATAGCAATTGAGGAAACCAAATCTATTTTTCTAGACAAAAATAGCGCAGGAATGCAATTGAATTTCATAAAATAGTCACAATCACACATTCATTGTGTTTGTTGTCATGGTTTGAGCAATTCAAAGATTTGTTCAGGTTTGTTTAGAGCTTGTTCAAATACAACTGATCTATACACACACTTAATAACATGAACCGGTACCAAATGTACACTGTTCTTGAAAAATGAATAAAAAACTCACCAAGTTTTTGCTTGAAAATCTTCTCAAAGGTTATTTCATTTCTTTCCTCCAGGTATTTGTACATAACACTCCGTATGCTGCAAATGAAATAAATATACAAATTAGCAATAGTGTAAGTCTGATCAGCAGGCAAGACAAAATCAAAACTAATGTACATCATGTGCATGTATGGTTAGGAGTTTGTAATCAATGATGCATTTTACTTATGTGCAAGATAAACGCAAGATAAACGAGTACATTCAAATCAACAGAGGGAACATATACAACTGTATGTCATGAAATACTTTCTTTCACTTTAATCATACCGGTACATGTGTACATGTACCGGTATGCACAATATACAGATTAACATCCAAACGGTTATTCGCATAATAAGTCTGTTCGATATCCATTTGTTATTAAATCGCGATATCATATCCAATGTTATCGCGATGATGTCATTTTTCTATTTGTGGAACAATGGAAAAATAGAAAAACACGACCGAAGTCACCATCGTGAGAGCCGCGTAAAATAACCTGATGGTCCGCAAATGTCCGTAACAAAATCGTCTGTTTTTTTGGCAGCCATTTTAAATCACTGGAATGAGGAGTTAGCGCTCTAGTAAATAGCTCTATGGTTAAGCCCCTGTCACACTGCTAGTGCTACGATGTAGCCTCCCGATCACAATAAGACAGTGCTGAGACTCAAGACTCAATGACATCATGAAACTCAGAACGTCATCTGAACTTTATCGGAACGACTTCTTCTTGAGTCATATTAGGTTTTGCCCTTCACCGATTTATAAATCTGCTTGAGTGTCGTTTTGGCATCCTACAGTTCGTGCATGGTCAGCAGTGGAGCCACGATTTTTTGGTCAGCAAAAAAATCCAAAACGGATCAGATCTGTTCTCTGTCTGTACTCAAACAGTTGTGTTGTAACGAAGTCGTAACAAAATCGTAACGCAATCGCAATTATACGAGATCGGCAGTGGTTGTACATGGTCGGCCAAATGTTTGTAGCCGACTTTGATACCACCATTACGACGTGAAATTCCGAAGTTGACATCACTCTGTCGTTCCGGAGTCGTTTCGGCATTGGTTCTCGGTCTTTTGTGTCGGTACTCAATCGGTTGTGTCGGTACTCTGTCAGGTAATGTCGTAACGAGATCGGGACTCAGTAGTGAAACAAATTCAATTGAACGGATCCAAGTTGTAGCGAAGTTGTAATATTCGGTTCGAGGTTGTATCGGAGTTGTTTAGTATTCCGGACGACATCGCAGCACATTCTGATTAATGGTCTGCAGACTCGGAAGACAAAATGTTAATTTCCTACGTATTTGGTATGATTTTCAAGGATTTTTTTTAATCTCATGGTCTTAGCGGGGTCTTAGTCTTTGGTATTGGATGTGTAACTGGGGCCTTAGACAAATTCTAAATTTGAATTTTAGGCTACACTGAAGCCAACATCGTTATGCCAGAGATCGCAGGTTCAATCTCGCACCTGCCAGTGCCAGTTTTCTTTGTTCACTTTCAAAGTTTATCGTATTCACTTGAATGGTTGACGTGTGATTCAGACTACTCTGGCATGCGAATCAAAAGTTGCTCTGTGTATTTTATCATTTTTATGCAATAATTTCTGCAAGTTAATTAATTCACAGAACGTGATCTCTCTTGTCCGTACATACATGTATTTTCCGTGTTCATGAATTTATTTTGAGGTCATCTGGGGTGCTGTGGTCCAATGGTTACGGTGTTCGACTTGTGTGCCGAGGTACATGGGTTCAAATCCTGACCGTGGGAACATGGTGCTTGTGCTCTTGAGCAAGGCACTTTACCATTATTGCTTCGTCCTTCAGATGGGCTGCAATATGCGCCACAGCATCTTGTAAACCAATATAAGGTGCTACATAATGGGTCTCATATTTCTCATAAACTGTATTTACCTTTCTTTAAATAGACATAATTTCCAGTGCCTTGAGTACCTAATTGTTGGTAGATACATGCGCTATGTAAGACTCTGGTATTATTAGTATTCATTTTTTTACAGCGCAGCGTGTTTCCCCGGAATTTCCTACCTGGCACCACAGCACATGGTTCGTTGGCAGCAACACAGTGGTTACGCAATACCGCAAGGTAAATGGACAGCTTGCTGTTGTGACTAGCGTTGCGCATATTAGTGTGCACCACCTGAATTCTCCTTTTTATATTTCTAAGAATTATCAAACGAAAATATTTGTTTACATTAATTAAGGCAACTTTTTATCACTTTTTATGGCCTTTTTTTTAAAGCTTTCGTAGCGCAACTAGAAATAGTTCAGGCGAAATTTGCATATAATTGAATACGTCATTCAATCAGCACACAAAAATTTGCCCCCCCCCAAAAAAAAATTCCCACCTACCTACCCTATTTTTGAAAGGCATGTAATCAGAAGCAAAAGTATATATTATACATGCTGGCTTTAACTGTTTTAGTCATAAATGTGGGGTTTATTGTTATCTTTTCAACAGGGGCGTAAATCCCGGGGGGGGGGGGGGGTGTATATGTATCTCTCCCCCCTCCCATTTTTGACCCCACTTTTTTCGTGGTGAGTAACAAAAAAAGGCGGATTTTGAGTTATTTTTCAAACTTCCCAACAACCAAAATGCAAGCAAATGTACAGAAAATGGGAGAAAAAGTACAAAAGCTTTCAATGCCCCGTTTTGATGTAAGGTTAAGTGCGTAAATACAAATGTACATAACATGCACATCTACATGTACATCATGAACAGTGCCCCTTAGTGTCATGTGGTGTCCAGCAAGCCCCCAAGGTCCCCCCCCCCCCCCACTTTTCAATTTCCACGGCCGGAATTTTTTTTATTTACATGTACATGTATGTCATCCCCCATCCCCAAGTCCGTGGTACAGATTTACGCCACTGCTTTTAAACTAAATTTCAATTAGTATTAATTATGCAAAATGAACCGATGTGCATTCGTCCATCATTATAAGAAGATTATGTACCGGCATTTCAGCATGTATCGGTATTTCAGCACGTACCTGTATGCGGCTGCATTCTAATGGATGTACAATGTAGGCCTACTGCATATATCAACATTAATAAAAACAAGTGTCGGTATTTTCTGAGCAGATGGTTCCTGGTTGTGAAATGCACCCATCTCCAAAACAACCAAATATATGTCATGTGTATTTTGTAAGCAAACCAGGAGGAAGCCAGAATGCACATTCATTGCTCTCTGAAGTGGAGAGACTTTTGCTAGCTAATCTGAAAATATACCATAGTACATTTTACATCAGCACTGGACAGTAAAACAGTAAAACATACAAAACTAGTGGCAACTAACAATTGGTTACTGCCAGACTGTGGAATCAATGCTCCATTCATAAATACTGCATTATACGTGTAATTCTATTTCATTTCAAGAGTCAAGGACAGTATGTATGTATGTATGTCTTCGTGTCTATCTAGCAAATATTTTTATGACATTGATTTTTTGTTGTGACACAAAATCTAGAACAAAAGATTTCTTTATAATTAGATTCTTTAATGTTTTTAGACCCTTAATGCTATTTTAAAGCTTTACCAGTATAAATTACATGAACATTTAGAGACGTTTTATTAACTGTGTGACAATTAGTTGAATTGACGAAGAAATGTTAAGAGGTTGTGTTGATCAACCATGCTCATGCTGATGGATGTTCCAAGATATTTGAAGTTTATAAAGGGAATGCACATTTGCTTTTGTTACAATTTTCAGAAATAAATGAATTTGGAGGATCAGTAATATAAAGCAAACTGACTGGCTTCACGTTTTGGGCTTAAAGATGCTGAAAAATCCAAGAAAACTAATCGTATTCTTGTAGTCTGGTTCCTTGACCCCACTTGAAACGGAGCAATTTATAGACTTTGGGGAATTGAAGGTCAGAGAATCAGTCTAGCAGGCTTGGACCCCTTCACAGGTGTGTAATCAATTACAAACAAAATTCCGAATAACTAATTATAAAAAATTAGGAGCAGTTTTTGAAAAAAAAAGCCTGACTTCTCCAATGCTGTGGTCGGCCAAAATACAATTTTTCTTGAAAACGTCAGCACACTAGGAGCCACAATTTTACAGGATGCTTTAGACAGTCATTTCCTAACAATCCAGTAAGGTACATGTATTTCGTGATAATATTATCATTTCGTTTTGTGATGTTTGCAAATACACAAATGACATTTGATGCACATATATAAAATGACGTCATCTACCGGTATTTAAACTTTAAAAGATGATCTTTTGCTCAAATTGGTTTTAGTGCTCAGAAATTGTCTCAGATCACACCACAGAAATTGCTTTTCTATAACTGCATGTCTCCCCAACTATATCCCCCATTTACATTTAACTCCCCACATTTTCATCCCCAACACTACGCACTACCCAATCTATGATCAGGTAAATCAGCTTGTGTATAATAAAAGTGCTAGATACGTACGTGTACGTTGGAGCCTTTTTGTGCATAATTTGAATCTGTTAAGGTCCAATAATTATTTGTGCTGGTATTTTGTGTCAATGATGTCACGGATGGAATGATATACTCCTATGACCCCCAACTACCATGGATGCTAGTGGTTTTCATTGTTTACATACAGGTGGATCTGCATATGTACATTGTACCTGGTATACCCAAAGCATTCCAAAGAAAAGACAGTGAAAACTGTCAGTGTTTTAAAATGTTCACTTTAACAAAAGATTTATTTTTTGTCCGCTGTAAATCCTCCAGTGAACTGAGATTGGAAGGTATGCTCGATGAAAAGGGGTAATAATAATGTTCCACACTGTGAGAACCTGTTTGGTTGACATGCCAGCTTTTAAAATCATTATCGCACATGCTGTCTACAATAATGTTTACAATGTTTACACCCACTATACCATAAAAAAAATAAGGGAGAATCTGGTTTCATACTAAGGAACTAAAATTCAATGTATCTGATATCCAAGCCTAAAATTGGACTTAAAATTGAGTACCTGAGAGTCAAGGACCTGCAAGGCCCGATTTCATAGCGTTGCTCGAAACACAAGACTACTGTCAGATATCTGTATTCATCTATGACATCAATTGGGGCAATCCTATTTAAAAGTCTGGTGGCATGACTGTGGAGAGTATGTGTGCAGATAGAGTCAGGTTGGCGTAGCGGTACTTTCGTCGCCTTCCACCGCTGTGACCCGGGTTCGAATCCCGCCTGGGTCAATATGTGGATTTGGTTTTCAGTCCCTGCCTGATTCCGTGGGTTTTTCCCTAGAATATTCTTCTGGGCTTTTCCTCCCGCCTCTAAAACTGTAACTTCTTCTCATTGTCTTCTCTCCACAGGTTTCTTCAGGCTTGCGAGCTAAATGTACAGTGCCTAGGGCGCTTTTGAGGAATCCTTGGTTTCATTACCAGAAATGATTAATAATAATAATAATAATAATGGTGCCAGATGTTTTAGTTATGGACAAGTTATATAACGGTCACAAATTTTTTAACTAGTATTTGGCCCATTCGCTCTACATGTATGTCCTTACATACCTTTGCAAGGAAAACAGATAATATTTATAACTGCCCTGATATTTTTGTTACATGTATATTTTATATTTTTTTCGAAAGTCTGGGGTTTTTTTCCTCCAACAAAGTGTATTTTTCAAACAAATTTCTCACCAAATCCACAGGTGACTCCATTTTTCAAACATAATAAGCAGGTATGATAAGCCAGCATGGTCCATGCTAGCCAAACTGACTTTGTTTTTTATGTTTGTTGTGACCTCTCCTACAATAGGTTTAGTATCGGACTTCCACCCTCAATTCACTTTGGATGTGAAGAAGTAGAATTTATGAAATATAAAATACAAACTCTCCACCATTCTTTTTGTTCAATCTGAGTGATGAAACCTAAAAATTAATGTTAATTGGCCTTATCGGGATTACAAGCAAGCTTGTACAAGTTATTTTACTCTTTTGAGTTTAGTGCTGTGCAACCGAACAATAAAGACCCTGCCCAATGGCCCTATTGACCATTTGTTTTGTTTTGTAAAGGAAGTGTAAGACATTGTGGATAACTTCCTACCACGATCAATACCCTGTGTACACTTTTTAAGTGTAACTATTTTAAGCCTGATTAAAATTGAGCCATCCCATGCGAACTCAAATAAATGAGACATCAGACACCAGCATTGTTTGCTAGGGTGATACAAATGATGTATGAGGAACATGATGAGGAAATGAAAGATCTTTATTCATAATCCAATTGTGTGGTGACCTTCAGTTTCTTTGAGCTCTTGTTGGACAGATTTCACTTCTAAATTTACCCGCTGACCTTAGGTCAAGACCTTAGGTCAAGACGTCTGCTTGCGCATGCCACATGTGCATAGAAACAACGCAAAAAAAACACTAAGCCAGGCAGGGTGAAGCCAATCACAACCATGGCCCGCTGGTAGCACACTCCTATTTCCGGCCTCACTCACTGCGAGCGGGTCCCTGACAGATATTTTCTGGCATTGCTCCCTACGTGTTTATCCGTCATCCGTTCTGAATACCGCAAACCTTTCTGGGTATACACTTCATCCCATGCGAACTGGTTTACAACCGAAGGCTCATAGCATCCAAGCTAAAGCCAAGGCTGTATGCACCCCGAGGGGGTTGAAAACGGCATATCCCACATCACAGCAGCAGCAGTCAACAATTATTTCCTTATATCGTGCCAATAAGTCAAAACCATAAATTGTATGAAACACAAATCGTATGAAAATTGCAAGATTCAAGACTGTTGGGCTAATTAACACCAACAGTCCTGAATCCCCCAATTTTAATATGATTTTGCACACCCCCTAGGCCGCTAGGGAGTTAGTTAAGCTGAATTAGTCAGACATGTATCCCTATAATATCAGGGATGTACATGTTGTTAAAATCCATCACAAGTCCTTGTCTATGGAATAGCTGCTTGCAAAGCAAATGGGCAGATTTGGCGATTATGCAAAACAAGACTGCGTCTGGACCTCCAGATTCTGACCATTCAGCGGGCATCTCTTATTGCTCTGACAGTCTGCTCTTGAGTGAAGAACATTTTGCATTTGGTTATTTGTTAGTACACAACCACATTAAATCTTTCCAATACTTAAACCTTTTCGGAAAGAATGTAGTATCCAGACACCACTCCTTTGGACTTTTGGTTGTGTGGAGAGTAGAGTGCATTTTTGGTATTTCTATTTCAGACTATTTTCTAACAAAATTAGAAATGTTTCTCAGTCCCAGATTCATGTCTTTTTAACATTTTTGCAATGACTGACATTCACTGAGATAATATTCTGGCGTCAGAATGCAACATTCTTTCCATCTTTCCATTCATGTTATTGGTATCGTTATTTTGTGGTGGTCCTTCATTACTTCTCGAATTAGAAGACACAAAACACAAAGGTGCCTTTTATTTATAGAACTTATGACTTAGAAGTAGGCCTAGTCCTTCATCATGTTCATTTTTATTTGAGATACGCCTTATCATTGTTTGTTAGTGGTATTACTTTAGTAATAATGAGTCCATGCATGTTTTCATTTGTACTCACCTAGGGTCAGGGAGCACTATCTTTTTGCTAGCTCTGGCAGCCGGAGTTGATTTACTCTTCTCCATCGCCATCAAATAGCTCACATCAGCGAGCACGGCTTCAAGATCCGCCATTTTTATTCCTTGGTGTCCTTTTGACTTATCAGTCACACGTTGACAATGACAATTAATAAATTTGCAAAGCTCCGAAGCCAAATAATGGCAGCTAACCAGCCTACGTCTATTCCTTATGTGCACATCGCCACGCTATCGTCATGATCGCTGCAGAGGAACTCGGGAATTCAAGAGAAGCACATCAATGGCATTTGGTTCCACGATCAACTGCGAATGGAAAAACGCTGCAGCATCCGAACAGCTTTCCAAGAGCACAACGAAAAACCCAAACAGCCGTGGTGTGGTTATCTGAATATTCGCCGAAGAACGGGCTCATTTCCCAAAAGCTCAGACCATGGAGAAAAGACTAGTATTAAATATCTGTACGGCGGGCTGAGGTAGAAAATCCTAATCATGGAGGCGTACGTACAGAGCCATCTCTACCCATAAAAACGATGTGTGTAACCCGTATAGCCTAGCCTACGTACGTCTGCATTGCAAATTGCTCATAGTTGCTGCTGCTGTGCGAGTGTGCCATGCCAGTACCAGTACATGTACATGTACAAGCCATGTACGCATACCCACCACAGAGACAGGACGTACACGACCGGAAAACATAGGCGACCTGCCTTTTTCCCCTTCTGTTAAATGATTGGTGTGCATGTGTCGCTAAGACCACGGTCAATGACGTCATTCACTGCTTAGCATTTATTATGTTCATCAAATTACGATGGGCATTGTCAAGGGTGATAAGACACAGAACCCGTCGTCTTTTCTCATCCCAGCAAATTAATTATCAAACTACATGGTTTTTCGTCTGAAGAAATTCACCCCAGGATGAAGCACTGGCATTTCTGACTACGAAAGCGATGAACGCGATCGCGAAAATAAAAGCGATTTCAGTCGTCATGGTGAACTTGTTATCTTAATTGTACATCATTACCAACATTTTGCAAAAGGTCTTCACAATGGGCAGTGATCCAAAAACGATTTAAGCAATACAGGGTGTACATTTGAACTCGTAGTGGGTAATTCAAGGGCATGCACTGGCGGATCCAGCCCCCCCCCCAAAAAAAAAATGTAATAATACTAATAATAAATAATAATAATATTAATTTATTATTAAACTCAAAAAGGCGTGAAGAAGCGCAGCGTTAATGTTTTAATTGTTTTGTTTTTTTAATTTTCGAGTTTCATCTCGGAAAAAGAAGAAGATTTGTTTTTTTTATTGCTATTTTCCTAGCAATGTAAAAATTATTCACGAGACATTCAACAACAAAAATCCACCAACGTTGATTGAATTATCACCAAATTTGACATTTTTTCAGAGGGTTACAGACGCCCAAAATCGAAATTAAGTAGCTTTTTCATTAAAAAAAATACAAATTGAAAATTCACGGAATTTACAACTTTAATAAAATGACAAGAAAAAAAGGTGAAAGGAGCCAACAGCGTCAAATAAGGTCAATTAAGTCCCCGACCCCGGCTTTGCGAATTGTGCAACGGCCGGTCAGTCAGTGTGTCGCATTTCCCCCCCCCCCCCAAAAAAAAAAAAAAAACCAACAACAACAATAACAAAACAAAAACAAAACCACCAAACCAACCAACAACAACAATAACAACAACACAACCAAACCAACAACACAAAACAAAACTAAACCTAAAGCCTGAATGGGTTCTTGATCTGCCGTGTTCGGCCCTGTCCCTTCCGGGCGGTGGGACACCCCCCCCCCCCACCCCACCCCTACCCCAACAAGTGTCTTTTTACCGCAGAATTAGGAGTGCAGGCGGTTGTTCTACTCGTCCCCTTTTCCTGAAAGGATTGTGATGAATAAAATACACCATCCTTTCTTCACCCACCCCCAGTTTTTCGATATCAGCGACGGCATGCCCCCCCCCCTCCCCAGGGTTCTGGATCCGCCCTTGATCCCGCGGTATTTGTCGCTGAACGGATTTGAGACATTTGGGGTGAAATTTGACCCAAAACTAGCTTTATTTTGCAATGGAATGTAATTAAGAGGGATCATTTTCAAAAATGTCTATATTGTGCAAGCAGATTCGGCGATTGATTATGGAAAACAAGACTGTGTCTTGACCTTGAGTACTGACCATTCAGCGGGTGCCTTCTATAGGGTCTTCTGTCACTCGTTGTTATCTTACAAAAACACGGCAGCCAAACTGACCAATCAACAGCTTAGTCCACATTTTTTGATCGAAATGACGTCACAGTTTCTTAAGTCGACTCCGATTGGCTGGCGCGCGGGGTCGCATACAATTTGCATTGCTCGCATAAGATCAGAAGTTTGTTACGGAGAGGGACCCGTTGGACAACGGGTGATACTCAGACTACACAGGCCTTTGTGAATGAGTGGGAAAATACCGAAACATCCTTGAGTAAATAGTAAACAACACTGAGTAAATAGTGTTCATTCAAATAAATGTAAAGTCGGCGAAATAATACGTGTCGACGGCTGAGCCTCACAGGAAAAGGGCCTTAGAAGATGGGCCTATGAGCCAGAGTCCTTTCATGGGGTCAATAATAATCCTGGAAACAGTAACGCGTAACGATTGCACGGTTTACATCAAGGAGCCCAAGGATTCGCTCGCAAATGGAAAAAAAAAATAAAACAAAAATGTGATGCTGGCGATGGGAGAGGGCGTACCACTACCAATGCAGACATAGTGTAGTTATTACGCTTAACCATGGAGAAGGAAAAGTCCTCAATATGCTATTAATGGCGTAGTGAGACTTTGGCACACAGTTACAGTTGTCCCTAATTTTCGACCTTTATGTTGGAACATACGATTAAAACTCCTGCATACCATGACAGAATGTTTTCCCATTGACGCAATGGCTTATCAGAGTTGATTCTCATTGTCATTATACGGAAGACGGATAGAGTACCACTCAATAAGTCTGAATATATTTTTTTGTCATAGCACTAGCGGTATTATATTTTCGTTTGTGGGTTTAATCAAGGGCGGATCCAAAACACAATTTTGGGGGGGGGGGGCAAAACAAATTGTGTCCCCAAAAAGTGGGTCCAAAAATTATGGCGTGGGGTTCGGGGCCCACTTGAGGGTCCCGTTTTTTTGGGGGGGGGGGATTCTAGATGCTCTGTGGTGCGATCTGAGGCAATATCTGACCACTTAGACCATTTTTTCTTTGGAGGAAAAGATGGTGGTTTACGCAGTGCCTATCTTTATTGCGACGTCACTTAAAAAAAAAAAATGGGCTTGTTTTTTTTTTGTTGGGGGAGGGGGCGGCAGGGCCCCCGTTGCCCCCCCCCCCCCGATCCGCCCTTGGGTTTAAAGGGCTCGTGCAATGTATTTTTTAATGCAGTCCTTCAAAATGCGCCTTTGTATCCCATTTAACCTAATTTTCCATTTTTGTTTGGCCACTTTTTCAATGGTATTTTGGTGCCTTTTCGGTTTTTATGCTAAATGCAAATTTCAACATTCCTGAGCAACAGTGTGATGTCATTTCAGGCATAACACCTCAATGTAACAGTTACTTCAGCACCAAAAGTTGCCAGAATTTTGGATGTTTTGCCGTCTTCATTTTCTGTTCTTTGGTGATTCGCTGTGGTGTCAGTACATGGCAGTAAGCCAGTGAGCAAACATTACTCACAGATGTTTTCAATAAGCCAATGTTTGGGTTTACAAGTTGAACAGAAAACCCCTGAACTGAACATGAACAGTGTCCAACCTCGTCCCCAGTGCTCACTTTATTGATGGGCGCGTACTGTTCGACTTTCTGGGGTCGAGGTTGGAACAGTGTCTTCCTGAAATGACTTCACAGCAACAGCGCCCTCTGCTGTCCGGAAAAGCATGGACTTTTTTTTTAATGTTGAAATAAGTGCACTTTTCAATAAAATTAACCAAAAGGGATGTCAAATAGTTTTCTTACATTTTAAGAGGAGTAGAAAGTTGCACAAAATATGTTCCTAAGAAAGTTGCACAAAATATGTTCCTAAGAAAAATTAACTTCATGAACCCTTTAATAATGCGGGCCATCTCAGCTACAGCGTAGAAATCACCCAGAAAGAATCATTACTCTGCTGTATCTACTGTAATCACCTAGTCCTAATTATAAACGTTGTCATACTTAGTGTCGACGGGGCTTCACCTCGCCCACTGCAGCGGGTCACCAGACTGGCATAAAAAAGCCAAACATTGGCCCTTAACTATATCGCCACTCGAGTTTGACTGTACTATCATCTTTACAAGTGCGGTGTCAAATGGAATCACTCCGAGAAATCTATTCAACCTTAAAGCTCCATGATTTAACTATACTGTGATCAGGTTTATCGAAGTTAATCTAAAAGTTTGTGATTGCGTCTATTCAAGGTTTGTTTGCCAAGCTTCCGCATTCAAGTTCGCTTCCCAAGATGGTTCTTTAAAACAAATCCCTTCACGGCCCGATTGCAGCATCACACGGCACAGTAGAGTCGGATATTTTAGAATGCGATAATGAGTCATTTGAATGGAGAAAAAGGCAAGCATTGGCACAAATCAATCCATTTGACTCCTCACTTACAGAGACTGATTCATTCAAACTCGAGCAAAGTCATGCTTTTTGGTGCCTTTTGGAGGAGACGGGGGGTGAACCGAGTTGCAATTTGCCATCACCCGCCGCGCGCCGTGTATATACATACAAACCAAGACTCGTCAAATGCGGATCATGACTTTTCTGCGTGAGGAAATTGAAGCCGTAATAAGATCACTGAAATGCGTGAAAAGCCACAACATGTCAGCTGAACTGATGAACTGATGTACTCAGTCTCTGTTCATCGGTTTTACCAGAGGTCACACAGTTCAGTTCCCCTTTTTACTCGCACTTCGTCATTACTTTGTCTGCACTAATCTTCGTGAAATTTTGTCCCCGCATCGCACCCTTTGTACTGTATCCAGTATGATAATCCTCGGGAGATATTTTGCTCCAAAGAGGGACGTATACTTTATGGAAGAAGAAGAGAAGAAGAAAGAGTTTTGAAGAAAAAAAAGCTGATGACGAACGACAATATTCACAACAAACACCGATGTCAATGGACAGAGTGAGAGTGTCCTGGGAGTCATCAGCGACATGGGATTAAGACCTAAAACCCTCACAAGTGGTGCACAGATAACACCATTCTACTGAAGTACAAGATCAGATTCCCGTGCGTACATTGGGCTTTTCCATCTTCCTGTCTGCATGGAGACATGGACCCTCACACAGAAGAGAATACAAGAGGATACAAGCGATGGAAATGAGGTGCTACCTCAACATCCTTGGTATCTTCTACATTGCTACATTACAATTGAGCAGGTCTGGAAGACTACCAGAGTCACCTGGATCCATTATGAGGACCCAGTATAGACAGGGTGACCCAAAAAAGTTTGCCTTTAAAAAAAAAAGGCAGGGATATGTGAATTTGTATGTTTTGGGTATTAGATTAAAGCTGAGAGCTTTTTCTTTCAAATACTGAAAACATCATAAAGATAGCACTTTGGGTTGCTGAGAAAATGCCAATTATGTAAAAGTAGTCATTTTTCATCCTGTACACAAATACTTCAAACAGTGAAACATTTTACGTAAGCCTACTATGCAATTATCCTTCATTTTGTGCTGTTGTGCAATGTCTGTGATATTTT